CTATCCCCGAGGTTACCCCTATCCTCTTCAATCTGTAATATGTAATAGGTTTTGTGAAATAAAAAAAAGCCACCAGTACCTACCTTCGACTGAAGTAGAGAAGTCTTGTAAATAGTGCTCATGGCCCATCTGATTTTTCTCTGTAACTAACAATACGTCATTAACGCGCTATCGCTAAAATACATCTTACATACCTTGTATAACTTGTTTTTCACCATGTCCACCATTAACTTCCCACGCGACATTTTTATTCTAAAGTAGTCAACAAGACCGCAGTCTAAGTACAATCAATCGATCAATCAATATTTTACAGGTTCTAAGTACAATCAATCGATCAATCAATATTTTACAGGTTAGAATTTAGCAGACTGTAACACGGAACACGCGCTCATGTAAACTAAATGCGGCGAATGAAGGGGTTATGAACACATACAGTTAGGACACAAGTGACAAGTAAGAGACGCGTGCGCTTAAAACGTGATATTTTCACGCGGATGAAGGAGTTAAGTGCACATAGCTCTTTCTTCCACTTTAGGTTGGCGATATTAATATGAAATTGAGTGTTTTTAGTGGGGCTATGGGCACATAACTTCTTCATCTAAAACAGTTTTGACATTTTTGTTTCTTAACCCCTTCTTACTACTTTATATCTACTTCACCAGTACAAATAGACCATTCTATTATATAGTCCAGGAAATAGAGACTGAAAATAGACCATTTCCTGCAAAATGAGAAGTAGTTCCAATTTTTTTTGCATGTCATGAAAGAATATCTGGTGGTTAAGAATCCAAGTTTTCGACCTCCCACCCCTTGTGCTTCCCCCGTACCACCCTTAAAACCAAAGAAATTTGGTTGGTTTTTTAGTTTTTCAATCATATCTTTTTATAGACTCATTTTACAAAAAAATATTGTTACCAGAAATTGTAGACTATTAAATTCTACACAACTTTTATATACACTACTTTTTTGTGAAATGTTTATTAAAAACGATATCGAGCTACAGAGTTGCTTATATTTTTAAGAATTCTGAAATTCCTATGTAGATGTTTTAACCAAATTTTATACTTTATCTCTATAATTAAGAGTTTTATGAAAAATTATCTTGAACTTATCGTGGTATAAATCCCCCTACGCTGCACCCTTACCAAGGGGGATGCATAATAATTCAACTTTCAACCCTTGCTAGTGGGGACATTTGAATCACTGTGAGATTGTAGGGTTTTCTAATATACTTTTGAAACAAAAAAATTGTCTCACTTCAGTTCAGCTTCATCCTTCAAATCCTTCATACCCCGCCTGCCCCTCCCCCCACCCGCGGTAGGAATAGATATTTAAAGAGGAATCGAAAATATATGTAATAAGCGTTGTACTCTCTGACTAACTTCACAATCGCCACAAGAGCGTTTAAATATCTATTCCTACCGCGCGGGGGGTGGGGAGAGGGGGTTGAAACTGAACTGAAGTGAGACAATTTTTTAATTTCAAAAGTATATTAGAAAGCGCTACAATCTCACAGTAATTCAAATATCCTCACTAGCAAGGATTGCAAGTTTCATTATTTTGCATCCCCTTTGGTCTTTACCAAAGGGGATGCAAAATAATGAAACTGTGAGATTGTTTTTATGAGTTTTATATCCCCTGCACCATACCACAATAAATTCAAGATATTTTCTCATAAAACTCTTAATTATAGAGATAAAGCATGAAATGTAGTTAAAACATCTACATAGAAATTTCAGAATTCTTCAAAATATAACCAACTCTCAAGCTCTATATCTTTTTTAATGAACAATTCACAAAAAAGTAGGGTGTATCAAAGTGTGTGTAGAATTTATGGTCTCAATTTCTGATACAATATTTTTTTCTAAAGTGAACCATTAAAAAGATATGATTGAAAAACTAAGAAACCAACCAAATTTCAGGGGTTTTGGGGGTGATACGGGGGAAGCACAAGGGGTGGGAGGTCGAAAACTTAGATTCTTAACCACCAGATATGAGATGCAAAAGAAATTGGAACTACTTCTCATTTTGCAAGTTAAAACCCTCTATTCCCTGGACTAATTAGGGCATGAGTTAGACAGGTACATAACACTTTCATTCACGCTCATAACTCATTTTCTAAAATAATGTTACATAACCCCTTCATCCACTTGCCCCTTCAATTATTATTTACTTTGACGATTTTGAAGTAAACAACCCGCTGGGTAGTCACAGTGGCATACATAAATTAGGAGTTGTATATGTTTCTATTCCTGTTTTACCCCCTAGTTATGTTTCTAAATTAAAAAATATATTCTTATTAGCATTATTTCACGCATCCGATAGAAATCATTTCGGAAATCAGACGATTTTTAGAGAAGTTATTAACGAATTAAATTATTTACATTTTAAAGGTATTTTAGTTTCAACGCCTGCATACAATGGTATTATAAAGTTTCATGTGGTATCCATTACAGGTGACAACCTTGGTTTGAACAGTATTTTAGGATATGTAGAAAACTTTAACGCAAGTCACTGTTGTCGGTTCTGTACCGCTAATAAAAGTCAAATTCAAAATTTGTTATTTCCGGAAGAAACGTTACTGAGAAATATGCAAAATTACGAGATAATGTGTGAAATGAATGACCCTTCATTAACAGGAATTAAAGAGAAGTGCGTGTGGTTAGGTTTAGACGGTTTTAACCCATTTAAGCATGTGGCGGTTGATATCATGCATGATTATCTAGAGGGGTGTTGCCGCTATGTAATGAATTTCATTTTAAGATACTTGGTGAATGAATCTAAGTTGATTAATATCACCACACTAAAAACGAAAATTGCAGATTTTGATTTTGGTGTAGATAAATCGTCTGCTTCTACGAATTGTATTTCGTTTGATGGATCTGCAATAAAAATAAAAGCATCCGCTTCAGAAATGTTAAACCTTGTGAGATATTTTGGAGTTATTTTTGGTTACTATGTCCCTCGAGAAAATGAAGTGTGGAATCTGTATTTGTGTTTGCGGATGGACTTCTGAATTCTAGAGTTTACACTGATAGTGAAGAAATTCTCCCTAGTCTTATAGCTACTCTTAACGAACAATACCGCAAATTATCAAAATTAAACTTGACACCAAAATTTCATTTCTTAGTACATTACGCTTCATTAAGAATGGACCATTACAGCAAATTTGGAGTATGAGATTTGAAGCGACACACAGACTTTTAAAGATTATTGCAAATTTGTCATGTAGTAGAGTCAATATATGTAAAACCATTGCAAAAAACCCAATTAATAGTGAACAGTGTTCTTAATGGTAGAATTTCAAAATCAGACGTTGTATACGGCAAAAAATTTCTGGTTTCAAATAATGAAAAACTTCTATATAATAAACAATCCTATTTTAACCAAAATAACATCTCAGAAATATTTTCACTAAAATGGGTTAATGTTTTGGGTACAAAATACAATATTTTATGCATTCTTACCGTAGGGGTCAGTGACGAAACATATTTTCCAGTTTTTGCTGAAGTAAAAAATATTTTTATTGATCAGAATAATATCGTTTATTTTTTTTGTACATACTTTGAAACTATACATTTTGATGAGCATTTCACTGCTTATGAGGTACAAAAAACCTGTGATACGGTTTGGATTAAGCACCAAAATTTAACTACCCCTTTACCCAATCATTTAACAACTCTTCAAAGTGGTGAAATGTACATAACTTTAAGGTGGCCTCTAGATTAGTTTTTTTTATAGTTTATAGTGCACGTTTATTAAAAAAGTTGACATTTTTTTTGTACTTATGTACATCACTTTAAGGTGGCCTCTAGATTTGTTTATAGTTTATAGTGTACGTTTCTTAAAAAAATTGACATTGTTTTTTGTACTTATATATCAAATTTAGTTTTTCGACTATTTGCAAATTGTATATCTATGTATTTTTTCAAAATAAAACTTCATGCAACAGCTTTTTTTAAGTCAGAAGAGATGTACAAAGCATGCTACTGCCCTATTAACAGCATGCTATCAAGTATTAATTATTAATACTTGATAGCATGACGTTAATAGAGCGTGTCGTAACTTTTAATGCTATAGGTGCTAAAATAGTCTGCGATTATACTAATATTTAAGATCTTTTGTATTAGTAACATGCAAGATCGTACATTAATTAATATACACTTTATTATCAAACAATAGACAGGCTCGTAAATTTAATGAAAACTATACTAAATTATCTGATAATTTGTAGTATAGTTATAAGAAATCGTCTCATATATGAGACCAAATACGCATTAATAATAATAGAATATCTACTTAATTTCGGGAAGAAATCAACTGTCTTAAGACAAAATGTATTAACACTAAGAAAAGTGATGACGTCACGGTTTATATTCAATGCCATCACGACTTTGTCTTAACTAATACGCAGTTGTATTAGCTAATATAATTCCGCATTTGATTTAGACGTAGAATTCATATTAAATTAGCTTGTCCCAAAAAAGTACGATAATTAATACGTTACGTTTCGGATTTAGAAGCGAAACTACTAACTTTTTTCTCAGTGCAGGACACCATTTTGATGGATAAATTACTCCTGGCTCTTGCGGACCTATATTGTTTACGAGATATTACAACTTTTCTAGGTAATTTGGACATGATTAGAGAAATTATGTCAGCAAACAGAGGTTATGTAAACTTCATACAAACTATAACACAGGAATAGAACAGTTTCTGATTGAGAGAATCCGAGAAACTCGATATTAGAATACTCAAATGAACGCTGTAGGCTAACGGTTAGGTCTGGGCTAACTTGCAAATAAGCTATCGTGTAGGAAATTTTACGAGGAACATTTTTCTTTCAAAAGTTTTTCTCTAAGCCTGCTACATTTCGAGATATTAACGAAAAACCGATTTCGGGGGGCAAAAACGTGCCACAGCTCGACGAGCGGCGCAGTTGGGGGTCTGGACTTTTAGTACATTATTCGGGACACCTAAACTGAGACATTTCAACAAATTCCAGCTTTTCCCCCCAAAATGTTTAGACCGATGCACTTACCGCCTGTACTACGGCCATAGAATTCAAACTTTTTCCAAAACTAAACTGTCAAATATTTCTTTTTTAGATCAACAGATTGTAATACGGATCCCAGATAAAATTAAGACGTCTGGTTTTAAATAGGAACCAGCCTACCTTGACTTTACCGTTTTTTCCAGACAAAAAGTTGTGTGCAGCTTTTACACTTAAAGTAAGAAATGACTGTTTAAAATTGCGCGAGTACTTTTACGCGCCGAACTGCATTTTATCAACAAGTATAACCCAAAAGGTAAGAGCGCAAACACGTTGTGTGTGAGTTCGGAATTTAACTGTAATAATTTCCGCAATCGATTTAAATTAAGTTTACCGCCCGCATAAACAAAATTTCGAGCCGGATATCTACCCTTAGTGCCGGATTTATACCGCTTAGTGTTACCTTATCGTTAATTAAGATACCTGTTACCGCTTCAATAAACTGTAAGTAATATTTTATACTTATCGCTTGCGCCATGGCCAATGCTGTACAAAAGCTGGCTTCATTCAAAAACCAACGTGAATAATAAATAATAAATATGCTTTATTATGCATTTTGCTCGTCTAACCAAACTGCGACGAATTTAGAGATACTTCCAAATTACACCCAGCTACTTTACGTGCTAAATTTGAGCGATTAGCCGAAATAGAAAAGAATTTCGCCGTCATTCAAGATAATATAATCTCCACAAACGCATTAGTTATTCAAGAAGATTGCTTATCAACTTCTAGGGAGTATTCTGCTTTCGATGACCTCCTAGCTACAGTTCGCGCCGCTTATTAAGAGCTGTAGAAGATCGCAGTAATGAACCAGCCGCTACCACGAATGTAGCCAACCCTGCAGCTTTAAGAAAATTACCGCAGATAAATTTACCAGTTTTCTCAGGAAATATTAGTGAATGGCAAACTTTTCATAGCCTATTTTGTTCTCTTATCCATAATAACTCCCAATTGAGTACCATAGAGAAATTTCAATACCTTAAAACTCATTTGGAAAAGGAACCTTCCGCATTACTGAGCAATTATACTCTAACTGAGAGCGGCTACGAGGAAGCCTTTAAAATATTACTCGAACGTTACAATAACCCTAGTAGGCTATATCCAGTACCTGGAGACCCATAGAGCCGCAACATCTGCCTTAACTTCAACTTGTGTTGAAAATTTAAGCGATTTTCTATTGTTTCAACTGTCTTATCTCAACTTAGACGCCACAATGCAAGTATCGGCCATAGGCCCTTGAGCTTTTTAACTCGTCGCCCTCGAGAATATAAACATCACTATTATGCCCTGTTTGGGTGTAGGAAAATTTCTACAATGGTTTTTCGCAATAAAACGCATGTACTTCTTCGTGGACTGTAGAATCTTTTTTAACCTTTCGCACTGCACGTGCTTTCATTCTCCCACCAAATCTCTCCTTCCTCTCACGACGGTTAGCGCGCGAATAAATTTAATATGAAAATATAAACTAAATCTTAACATTTCTCCCCACCTTGAACGGTTCGTTCAACAACAATACGGTAAGTAAATATGTATAACAATTAAAAATAGAAACGAGAACGATAACTAACTAATAGTTTAAGACACCACACCATGTACTGGAGCAGTGTTTTCAAGTGGCACCACGCAGAGTCTTGTGATTGCTCGTTTGAGAACTCCATTGGACGTACGAATGGTGGCAATCCGCACAACTCCATCATTTCCAGGATGAACTGCAAGGACTCGTCCCATCAACCATTTACCAGGAGGTAAGTTGTCTTGCTTAATTAACACTAGTGCGCCTCCCACCAAGATGGCTAATGGTATTTTCCATTTATTCCTCTGTTGCAGGGATGCGAAATATTCAACGGACCATCTTTTCCAAAATACTTGCTGTATATGTTGTAGTAACTGGAATCGTGATAACTTTCCCAACGGAATCGTATCGAGACTTGGGTCTGGCACCATGGTGATCGACTTACCAATCAAAAAATGTGAGGGGGTAAGGGGTTGCATATCATTTGGATCGGACGACTTTGCATAAAGAGGACGGAAATTCAGTGTTGCTTCTATCTGAACTACTATAGTTTGCAGTTCTTCAAACAAAAGGTGAGTTTTTCCAATTATTTTAATTAAATGAGTTTTAATACTTTTTACTGCCGCCTCCCAGAGACCCCCATGATGGGTCGAATTAGCCGATATAAATGACCAAGCAATATTTTCGTTTGAGCAAAGTTTGAAGATATCATTCTCAGAATCTTTCAAGAACTTGTAAAGGTTTTGAATTTCCTTATTGCTTCCAACAAAGTTTGTAGCATTGTCAGAAAAAATATGTTCCGGTTTGCCTCGCCGTGCAACAAATCTGCGCAACGCGGCAATGAATGCTTCTGTTGTGAGGTCCGTCACTAATTCAATATGAATTGCTTTACAACTAAAGCAAACAAAAACAGCTAAATATACTTTGTATTCTTTGAAACCTCGACCTTTGCGATCCCTAAGCAGATACGGTCCTGCGTAATCAATTCCCGTAACGTTGAGGGTTTGGCTATCTTTAGCCGATTTTCAGGTAAATTTGCCATTATGTTTTCTAATGGTTTCGGTTTATATCTGAAACATGTCACACATTTCCTTATAATACCCTTTACCGAATTCACACCATTTGTTATCCAATAATTTTGTCTGATATTCGATAATAGTAAAGATGGGCCTGCGTGCATTAATTGTTTATGAGTGTGTAAAATGATCAATTTAGACAGTATATGTTTCCCATCTAATAGAATAGGATGGCTTTGCTTCGTAGTTGATTTTTGCATTTTCTAAGCATCCTCCCACGCGCAAAATTCCGTTATTATCTAAAAAAGGGGATAAAGTTTGTAAATTATTATTTGTATTTAGCACCCCCTTAGTTTTTAAAACCCGAATTTCTTTAGCATATGATTCATTTTGCGATAGCTGTATCAGTAATCGCATACTGCTTTCTAAATCTTGGACAGTTAAGTCACCTGTTAATGTATCATGTTTGACTTGTTTATATTTTAAATTTTGAATAAATCGTAAGCATATTGCCACTACCCTTCGTAACTTATTCAAATCTGAGTAACGATTGAACAAATCAAAATCAACGTTATCATTTACTTCCACTTTGTACACTTCCGAGTAATTGCTTTGGAATTCTAAGTTTGTCTTCGGAACTTCGGATTCGTACAAAAAATTTGGACCTCCCCACCATAGGGCACAATTCAGTAATTTTTGAGGAGTAATTCCTCTCGAAGCAACATCAGCAGGGTTTTGTTTTGTATTTACATAACCCCAGTTATAAATATCTGATTCTTGTTGAATTTTACTTACTCTATTAGCTATGAACACTGGTAACCTCTTCGAGTCCGTGTGCAACCATTGCAACACAACCTGGGAATCACACCAATAATAAGTTTTCACATTGTCCCAATAAAGTGAACTCATACAGAGTTTTGCTAATTTTGAAGCCAATAGTGCCCCACATAATTCCAAACGTGGAATTGGCAGTTGCTTTAATGGTGCAACCTTTGTCTTTGCACATAATAGCGATACATATATTTTCCCTCCCTTATCGATTGACCTTACATAGACTAACGCGGCATATGCGTCCTGACTAGCATCGCAGAACGCATGTAATTCAACCTTTATTGGATCTCTACATATAGCATGCCTGGGAATTTTTAATTCATTTAAACATACCACACCGTCATTAAATTGTCTCCATTTTGCCTGAATATCTGGAGGAACCTCATCATCCCAGTTTAATTTTAAGGTCCACAGATTTTGGATGAGAATTTTAATAGTAATGATACAAGGGCTAATAAGACCTAATGGGCCAAACAGCTTTGATATCTCCGATAATAGCTTTCGCTTTAAAGTATTTTGCATTCTGACTTATTAGAAATTTTGAAAGATAAATTATCAGACTTGCAACTCCAAGTAATGCCTAAGGTTTTAATTTTATTATCAGTGAACTCTATTAGGTTATTTCCTTACTTCGACGGGAAACTCAATGGTTTCCCGAGCTACCTCCCAACTGACCACCAACATTCTGGCCTCAGTTTAACATTCGCACTAGACGAAAATCCCGTACCCACTTTCACTCACTAGGTCCACTATCCCAATTTATTTCCACCGATCAGAGGTGTGCATCTCCTCACATAATCTCAACGTCGATCCTAATTTTAAACACTCCTTTGAGACCGATGTCGGAAGACTTCCGACGTCTCCCAGTTCCTGAAGGTCTTTTACTCACCACCGTCCTTCCAATTTTAGTCCAAGACATCTTGAAAACAACAACACTTCGGGCTCCAACGGTCGATTAATACTTCGCCACCTACCCCTCCAGATGCTCTTCCTTTTCTAACCCCACGTTTCAACAGAAGTCTCGCAACGTCCCACTTTCCTAAGGCTTGAAAGGTTTCCACCACCACAATGATTCTCAACCCCAACTCTGATCTTCCCCTCCCTGACGTATCGATTGATCTGCAACGATAAATTTGGGCAAGATCAGTAAGTTACCGTGCCCTTTGTACTGCTGCCTTCAACTACATTCCCTCTCAGCCTCGGAAAGAGCCATTCTTCGGGAAATACACCGCCTACACTACAGACATCCCACCCCACGTTTCAACAGTCAACAAGTCTAAAACGCCCCACCTGTCTAAAAGCGAAGTACCAGAAACAAGAGACACATTTGTCACGCCATACAGCAACAAATTTCCCCTTACACTCCTACTCTACCTCCTTGGTAACCTCCCTGACGACCTCAACCAACGGCACCACCTTCTCCCTTAGAATGATCACCATAGCAACACAGAATTGATCATGCCCCACCTCTCGATGTTTCAGGTATAATATACATCTAGCGTCCACAGGAAACTACAGCCATCGCAACTAAACCACATAGCCGCCAATCGCATCGTGCACTACACGACCACCTACAGCCGACCAACAACATTTCCAGCGTCCATATCACTCCACAGGCCCAAACCATGATCTTCAGCTCCATCCAGTCATCACACATCAAAGTAATTTTTTGTATTACGTATACAGTACTAAATATACAGGCTGATTCAAATTCGAAGGCCACCATGGGGATCTCGGGAACTGTAAGAGATAGGTAGGTAGTTTAAATTTGGCAAAGCTTAACAATTTTGTAAAATCTCCAAAAGTACTCGGAATTTTTTCAGTTTCAAAACTGCATTTTGTTAAGCATCAAAATACGCAACTTTGCCAAATTTAAACTATCTTCCTATCTCTTACAGTTACCGAAATCCCCATGGTGGCCCTCGAATTTGTATCAGCCCGTATAGGGTCGCTGATAAGTCTGGCAACGGTCGATTATCGGAGAAAATACAAGATATCGAAACAAATTTTGTTGATATTACTGCCTAGTAGATATTGAAGAACCCCAAAACTTTTGCATAGAACTTTTTTCGATATCTTGTGTTTTCCCCTATAATAGACTCTTTCCAGACTATACAATAGAGTGTGTCCAAGAGAAGAATGCACAGTATGGGGAAATCGAAAACCGTAAGAGATACACAGTAGGTTAAATTAGAAAAATTGCGTATTTTAGGGCTTAGTAAAATGTTTTAAAAATTCGGAAATTCCGATCAATTCCGAAGATTCCCACTTCACTGCAACGTTTCGTCTTGGAGAAATCATCATCAACTTCATATTTTTAATGGACCGAAAAAAAAGTACATAGTGTAGTGAGTAGCATTTTTTTTATTACAAATACAATGCTGTATAGCACAATATGATTCTTAGGTATGTAATTTAAAAGAACCATCAATGAATTATTTTGACATTGATCATATTGTGCCATTCAGATCATGGTATTTATAATTAAAAAAATGCTATTCCAATACAGTATGTACTTCTTTTCCGGTTCATATAAAAAATCATGATGGTTTCTCAAAGACGATACTTCGCAGAGAAAATATGTGGGGAAAAATGCCTATGAGGAGGTATTATTTGTTTTTTGATATCTTTTCAAACAGTGTCGGAAAAACATAAAACCGAACATGGTTAATGTTTGCTCGAATATCTTCGTAACTGATCGGAATTTCCGAATCTCTACTAAGCCCTAAAATACAACGTTTTTTAATTTAACCGACTTATGGGTTCCTACTTCCCCATGTTGTTCATCTTGAACACACTGTATATTACTTAACAGCAATTTGTTGTTCATTTTAGTGTGTTATAAAGTAGAACCTATATTCTGTATATATTTAGACGGTATGCATTGTTTATAATTTTGTTAGTTCCAAAACAGATATTGATAATAAAATAAACATTAACCACGCTTTCTATTTTTTTCTTCGATTATGTGTTTTAAAAATACCTACTTTGTGAAAAGATGTTGACATAAATTGTCGCTTTTCACAAGTTGATGGGCGTTCCTAAATGTTGATCGAATTACTGTGTTTCTCTATTGTTTATTTATAAAGAACAGTTCGACATACGTGCTAGTGTCCACTTATTCACCAACACCACGTGGATAAAACACCGGATCCATAAAGTAATGTTGCCAAAAAATCATAACGAATCATATGCATTGGTTTTTTAATAAATTATATAAATACATTTATGTACACTATTAAATACACAATAATAGATTACAATGATTGAAATCTACTAAAGAAGTTTGTCGCAGCGGTAAGCACATCTGGTGTTCCGTATGTTGAATGCGGATGCACAACTGGAACTGTCGAAGCTCCCACGCTGATGGATGGTAAATTGACACTCCAACTTCCAAAGATGGTTAGAGCAAACTCGAATATTTGTCTCAAAACGCTGATGCCGACCAATGTAAAACCTCCCAGTTTTTGAAGTTTGCCAATGATGATGTTAATAATGGCACGAACCAAGTCCCAATTTTCGTTAATTAAAATTTGGAGCCGCGCCAATAATTCGTTCTTGAATTGAATGAAGGTTTCGAGGAATCGGAAAACTTCAACGTGCGGAATAAGAACGTGGGTGTCTACTGCAACTCCAGAAAGTGGTACGGCTGCGGATACATGGGCTGGTTCTGCGCTGTACGTGGGCAGGTGGGCTTCAAGAGGTAGAGATTCCAAATCAAAGTTGCTGCCGCTGTCTTCTAAGGGCAGCGAATGGAAATCGTGGAAGGTAGATTCGGCAAAGTCATGGTCGTAATCTTCATCGCTATCACTAGGAGTCGGCAACCCAACAACGGTGCTTATGGTAAAATAAGCAATCTACACAAAAAGATAATAATGTAAGAAATGATCTTAAAAATAAAACGTAAACTTACCAAAACAAAGCTTGCTAATTTCATTGTAATGATTTAGTAGATGCTGCTGTGGTGAAGACAAGCTGTTCAATGATATTCTTGTAAAAATCTGAACCTTATATACTGCCAACCATGAATCATAATTGCCATAATTTGCAAGAGCTCATTATGAAAATCACTAATTGCACTTTCTATTGATACGTCACTGTGGGACTCCTTATTTAAGGAGAAAAATCTTTAATAGGCTTATTTCATTTTCTTCGAGATCATTATTGTCGTATAATGGACGCAAAATTCTTACTGGTGCTACCTATGGTGAGTTCAACTTGACGTTTTGTTACATCGCTTACTCATTACATCTGAACAGATTTTCTCGCTAATGAATGCATTGCCGGCCGAATCTCCCAGCAATAGCAATGAAGACCGCAACGATACGGAAACTGCAGCCTCGGGAATCCTCCAAACGTTCGCAACCATTCCGTTTCTACCCTCCGGAAACAACGATGTGCCCGATCTAACATCATTCCCATACGAATCGTATCACGACATTGGGAACCCCTACGGAACGCCACCCCAGCCTCAACCTTCCTTTGGCATCTCAGTCAACACGCAAGCGATTTTAGCGCCGCAAGTAGAAGTTGTCCGATTCATTGAGGCATTTCTTCGATTGAAGAGCGAAATTTTGGCACGTCTGCAGACTTTACTAAACGAAAATTGGGACCTGGGCCGAGCTATTTTGAACGTGATAATTGGGAAAATACAAAAACTTCTTAGTTTTGTGCTGAACGGTGTCGGTCTGCTAAGGAACTTTTTGGAATTTATCCTTGGGCTATTTTCAAACTTCAGTCTAACGCTTCCATCGCTCACCCTTGGTGCAACTGGTCCTTTGCAAGTTCAACCCCATGCCGTGTACGGGGTACCGTCGTCAGTTGCACCCCCAACTGTATTCTCTACATAATGCCAGTGTTTTCAATCGTGATTTGTACATAGCTATTTATTAATAAATACTTTTAAGACCTACATTTTATTTACTATTCCACCCGCATGTGGTTAATGACTTGGATAAAGATTGTGAAATATACAGGGTGTTTTTGTTGTGGGAAATCGGAGAAAGTAAGGTAATAATAAATTTGTGCAGAGAATTACATTTATTATTTTGGAAACGTGGACATGAGCAGACGCACAATTTTTTAAGTTACAAGTATCTACTTACAACTTTGCTTTAAATTAATTAGCGGAGAAAATATAATCGATATAAAGAAATTAGCATTGAAACCCTTTGTTGCGAAAACTCTTTCTACACCCTGTATAAGAAAAAGTATTTAAACAAGAACTAAACTGCAACAATCAAAGAAGATGTTTCTTGTTTTGTAATTAATTGGGTTCTAAGAAAGGAACAGGAAGGTGCGTAATGGAATTTGTGAAACAGGATAGATTCCAGGGAGACGTCTTTCATTCACTATTATTTATATTTTAATGCTGTAAGCACAACCCTTAACATTTGTTTCGTCATAGTTTATAATGTGACTTGCTGGAACATTTTGTAAAGATTCTTTTATTCGGGAAACTCAACTGCATCCTTTCTAATACTTAAGCCTTTTTTAATTGCAGTTGTAGCCTTAGTAATGACGCCAGCACTGTATTTTTGGTACCGCTTCGAAAAACGATCTGGTTTATGTACACGTGTCGTCGCCGTTTTACTTTTTTTTTAGTCATGTTTTTTAGGAAAGTAAACAATATTTATTACATTTTTAAGTATTTAAGTATAACATGTAACGAACTCAGAATTATTACGGTAGGATTTTTTTAAATAATTAAGTTACTGTCGACCCTAGCACGATCACCCCATCGATCCTATTCACTCCATCTTACGGTCTGTGGATAATTGCGAAATATAGGAGATTATTTTACGTTTAATATATACAGGGTGATGTTTTTAAGTAAACCATTAGAAGTTTCCGGTTGTATCAGAAGAACTTTCTTATTTTTCTTTTCTGATGGCATTTTCGAATTTCCTCATAAAAATCCCTATGTCTTTGTCAATATGATGCTATGTCTAACTGGCATGGTATCGAAGTTTTTTGACATTTTTTCACGGTTTCAAAAGTTCAGTAAATTAGCCATATCACTATTGTCTGACAACTTAGTAAAATGGTTTTTCACGAATGGACAACTAAACGTCCACGCTATCAAATGTCTGGTCTAATTTTCAAATGTGATTCGAAAATAATATAAATAAGCGTTCAAAGTTGACATTTCGGTTATTGGCCAAAAACTCGAAATTTTGAAGGTTTTGAGGTTTGAAATTTTGTTCTTTAAAGATTTTCAGAATATCAGTTCTTTCTCATTCAAGATCTCTCCCTCTCTCTCTGCATCTCGCGACGAAGCACGTTGGTAAGCTCGAAAATACGCCAAAACGTTGATTTCATTGTCCAAATCATCAATTACAACTTTTTGTCTAGTACTTCTTCCACGGAATTTACCTGCGGTTCTTAAATTTCTAACAATGTTGCTGATTGTTTTACGAGTGGTTTTCAACTTCAAGGGAAACTTCTGATGGAATAACTCACATGTTCTGGAAATGATTTTGTTGCACTCGCCACAGCATGGCTTCCATTTGGAAGTACCTAATCTTCGTTCGAATAATAATTATTCATTTTATAAAAATTCAAAATAGTTCACGAATCAATATGAAATACTAAATGGTCGACTTCTTTATGACATTCAAATGTTCAATTGTTGTGAATGATTTTATCGACGCCATCTACATTTCCGGTATCGTTCTGATATAACCGAACGGAAAAGCGGCCATCTTGCAAATATTTTTAACTGACTCCTTTTGTTCGATTACCTCGA